CCGTAAAGAATGGAGGAGGAGGCAGTCGGGGAGGCTACGACAAGCGGGTTTTATGGCGCCAAAAGCGCCAGGACCATACCCTCGTCGTATTCGACGACGATACAATGGAGAAATGGCCATTGGAGAACGAGGGTGGTGGTGATAGCAGCAGTGACCCCGGAAAGGGGGAGGTCACCGCTGCGACGGTCAACAAGGGAGGATCGTCATCGAACAATCGACCGAAGGGAAGACCATGCTCCTTCCCGCACCATCCTAGGATTGCGGCCTGTAGACCGTGGTTGAAGATGGGATTAACCCAGGAAGTATGGYAGGATAGGATGGACAATGCACAGTGCCTCAAGTGTGGCACTGCGGGGCATGTTATTGCCTATTGTCCTTTGATTAGAAACCCAAAAGGGAGCAGCCAGTAGGAATAACATATGTTCCTACAGAGTCGGAGGGTGCGATCACATGCGAGGCGCCTACGATCCCTTTCCACACTTCGACTCCCGTGGCAGAGGATGGAAACCCTTTCGCCTGTCGTTCAGATAACCCCACTCCTGTCTTATGCCTGCGTCTGGACGACTCCCTTGACGAGCTGGGTAGCGAGCTAGTCGCGTTACGCAGTTCGTGTGCAAAGAAAGCCAAGTCTAAGGGGGAACTATTGATTGCCGATTTGGCTGTCAATCGCACACACCTTGGTGCGATGCTGGACCCTGGGTCCACACGATCTTACATGTCTGAACGTGCAATCCGCAAGTTGCACCTCGRCATGAAGATCYAAACGTTAGCTAGACCAATCACGTCTATGCTGGCTGACAAAAGCACGATGACGGTAACGCAGTACGTCGATCGTGTTCGATGTCAGTTCAGTACTAAGGAGGGGAAGAAGATTTGGCATGAGCTTCCCTTCCTAATCGAGAAGAACATGCCATTTGATATCATCTTGGGAATGGATTGGCACGAGGAAGCTGATCCCAAGATTGATTTCAAACAGAAAGAAGTACGAATCAAGGATGAATCATCTGAATTGCAATCAATTAAGTTGTATCATCGGTCAGGGTCTGATTCTGTCTTGTCTTTCTGTTGCATGAGCTACCCTGCATTCCGATCGATGGTTGCAAAGAAGAAGTTAGAGGATGAGGTAGTCATGTTGTTAGTTAARAAAGTAGGTGAGTCTTCAACTACCCATCCTCCTGGCATAGATGCACTCCTAACGGAGTTTGCCGATGTTCTGTCTGAACCAACCGGGGTCACTTCGCGTGCTATTAAGCACACGATCGAGATTGTGCCCGGTAGCATGGTTCCCAAGGGCCCTATGTATCGCATGTCTCCAAGGGAACTTGAGGAACTTAAGAAACAATTGTCTGAGTTGACGGAGAAGGGATGGATTCGCCCTAGCTCCTCTCCTTATGGTGCACCTGTCTTGTTTGTGCCCAAAAAGGAAGGTGAGTTGCGCCTTTGCATCGACTACCGAGGGTTGAATGTCATCACCGTCAAAAACGCCGAACCTTTGCCAAGGATCGACGATCTCTTGGATCAGTTGCAGGGTTGTCGAGTCTTTAGCAAGATCGACCTCAAGTCTGGGTACCACCAGATCGAGGTGGATCCCGCCGATCAGCATAAGACCCCGTTCCGTACGAGATATGGTCATTACGAGTTCATCGTGATGCCATTTGGTCTAACGAACGCGCCTGCGACCTTCCAAAGGGCAATGAATGAGTTGTTTAGGCAATGGCTCGACGACTTTGTAATCGTCTACTTGGATGACATTCTAGTGTATAGTAAGACACTAGAAGATCATCATCGACACCTTCGTCTAGTACTCGGGAAGTTACGCGAAGTTAACTTCAAACTCAACCCAAAGAAATCCGAGTTCGCTAAATCTGAGGTCCTGTACTTGGGTCATATAGTGAACGAGGAGGGATTGAGGCCCGAGGAAAAGAAGATCTTGGCAATCAGAGATTGGCCACAGCCGAAGACTCTGACAGACCTGCGATCTTTCCTTGGATTAGCAAGTTACTATAGGAAGTTCGTTAGGAACTTCTCAGTTATCGCTGCTCCCATGAGAAGATTGCTCAAGAAAGGTACTATCTGGTTGTGGGACAAGGATTGTGAGTCATCCTTTCGAAAGCTGAAACACGCTTTGACCCACTATCCTGTTCTTAAGATTGTCGACCCGTCTCTTCCTTTCATCGTCACAACTGACACAAGTCAGTACGGTGTTGGCGCTGTCTTACAACAAGACGACGGCAAGGGCTACCGCCCTATTGAGTTCATGTCTAAACGTCTGTCGTGTGAAAAGATCGCCAACTCCACCTGCGAAAGGGAGTTGTATGCATTAGTCTGCGCCCTAGAGACATGGAAACACTATCTCCTTGGCAGACATTTTACTGTGTACTCGGACCACTCGACCCTCAAGTGGATCAAGACACAGCCTCGATTGTCTGACAAGTTGGTGCGTTGGTCTGCTTTCATCGATACCTTCGATTTCGAACTCAAAACTATTAAAGGTAAGTCTAATGTTGTAGCAGATGCACTATCTAGGAGGAGTGATTTCTTTGGGGCTATAGTCTCTTACCTGTATGTTGGGAATGATGTGAAAGATGAGATTCGTGCTGGATATGCCACTGACACTGTCTGGAAACCAATCATGGATATCCTAGCCAAGGACCCATCCCAACTTCCTCACTATCGATTGTCTGATGGCTTACTCTTATTGTTGGACCAGACGGAACAGAGATTATGCATTCCTCACAAGGAAGAATTTAAAAGTCTATTCATTGGGAAATGTCATGACACAGAGGGACACTTTGGTTTCAAGAAGACGTATGCTGAGGTGCGTGAGCACTATGAATGGAAGGGTTTGAAAGAGGATGTACTAACGTATGTTCGTACGTGCCAAGTATGTCAGAGAAACAAACCGTCTCATGAGAACCCTTTGGGTTTACTCCGACCACTACCTATTCAGAGTGAGCCAGGTGAGTCTGTGTCCATAGACTTCATGAAACTCACCAAGTCCCGAAATGGCAATAGTCAAGTTATGGTTGTGGTTGACCGTTTCTCTAAATATGCCATGTTCATACCCTTGCCTGCAGAGGCCAAGACTGAGCTTGTGATTGCTAAATTTCAGATGCGATGGGTAACTGAGTATGGGTTTCCCATGTCTATCGTATCTGACCGCGATGTCAGGTTCACAAGCATGCCTTGGCAGAAGCTGATGGAGGCCTACGGTACATGACTCACCATGTCGTCAGGCAGACATCCTGAAACGAATGGCCAGTCTGAGCAAATGAACCGTATGGTCCAACAACTTATGAGAATGTATGTTCGTCCTGACCAAATAGACTGGGATGAGAACTTACCCAAGATTGCCAGTGCATATAACAATAGTGTGCATACCGCAACGGGACGCACACCTAACGCACTGCACAAGGGCTGGAAGCCTAAGCGTCCCATTGGTGTTTTAACCAGGGATCAGTTTCTTAGACTTCCACCAGGGACAAAGGAATATGCCATTATGTTTCAAGAAGACATCAAAAAGGTGAAGGAGAATCTGAGGAAAACCCAAGAGCGCATGATTGAATAAGCTAACAAACTCCGACGCCCGTCTACTTTTCAAGTTGGTGACTTGGTCTGGGTTAAGTCCAAAGAGTTCACTCTAGAAGAAGATGTTTCTCAGAAACTGATGCCTGTCTATCTAGGACCCTGGGAAGTTCTCAAGGTGATAGGGGATGCCGATGGACAATCATACCGGATTGACATTCCCCCTCATCTTCGGACATACCCCGTCTTTCACGCGTCTAAACTGCTTCCATATGTAGAAGGAACATAATTTCCTCACCGACCATCTGCTATACCTCCGTCTATGAATGGCAGCTATGTGGTTGAGAAAATTACTGACCATGGATTCTTTTCTACTGGTGSAAGAGGCAGACCTCAKARGYAGTATAAAGYGAGATTCCAGTTCCAAGATGCCTCTGAAGACCGTTGGTTTAGCAGACGGGAACTGATGGATACTGCTCCTGATATTATTGCTAGCTATGAACGCGGACTGAAGTCTTAAGTATTTCTGCAGTGGAACTCGAATTCGGGCCGGCAGGAATGCAGTAAACCGCGTTCAGCAGCGGCCTGGGCGTTGTAACCCAAGCCCAGGCCCAGCGAGCAGTGCGACCCCGCGTTGCTCGACCTCAGGCCGCTGCGGGTGCTGTGTGACCATGCACAGCAAGAAATTCGAAGGTCGAAGTCAACTGTAGGTCCAGGTACCTTGCCCAGGCCCTTGGTCGTGTGCATTGACTTGTATGAGTGCAGGTACCCAGTCAGAACGGTGGACCAAGGAGGATACAGTTTCAACTCAATCCATGCCGTCGACTACAATCGATCTCGGCCGTGTCTGACTTGAGGACTGGGGCCCAGACCCCGCCGTCAACACTACATATTGGGCTGACTTCCTGGCTTTGACATCTAGACTCTCGTCTGGAGTCTATGGGGACTTGACGCTCTCGCATCAACGCCGGCTCTATGCTGTCTTGCTGGCGAGACGCTGCGGGGAGAATTTGACGACCGGCGCTCGTCGCTGGTTCGTGGCTTGAGTGTGCTGTGCGACCAGCATGCTGGCTGGCGCACTACTGTCTGAGGGGTTGTCGACGTGGCAGATGCCACGTGTCATCTTCGTGACTGCKGCCACRTGGTATTGCTGCTGAGGTGGAAGGCGCTGGGCGCCTGTATTGCTGTTCTGCTTRACAAGTACTCGGAAGGAGGAATCAGGACTGTSGTTGGGGTCGTGATACGTACCTGGTGTCTTCAACTTCGTCGTCACGCTGCTGATTGATGACTGGTCTACTGGTGCCACGTGGCACTGTTTGACTACATTGTCTTGGATGTCCGGATCTCTGATTGAGACACGATTATGCTGCTGGGAGGAGGAAGTGCCCGAAGAGGAAGTGGGCTGTAGGGAGGAGACTCTTCCACCCTCTCAAAGTCTATTMTCCCTCCTCCCTCTCTCRTCTGTGTATGCATTCTCTCTCGTTTTGGGATCATTATTATCATGATTTATCAGCAGCGTTCGTTTACTTGTCTTTGCGAGTGACGACTGATTATCACGACTGGGCACATTGCACCTATTTCCATCCTACCAGCTAGCCCCCACACTAGTAGGATGCTTGATAACCCACCATCTACTTCTTCCACTCTCCTGAAAGACTCAGACACCCCCCAATCCATCCCCTGTACCCCACTCCAGTAAGACTTACTGCAGCAGAGCCACCATCTCTGCTGCCGCTGTACCCTATTCCCGTCCTAGTAGGACGCGTAATATCCCACCTTCTCCTTCTCCCACTCACCTCGGTCTCTCGAGAAAAACACCTGAACAATACAAAAGACATAGAAATAGACCTCGTAGGTCCTACAAATGCTCAAAAACCCTGGAAATCCCTAACCAGCCGTTCCAAGGCATTCCAACACTGTCCTACTCCCTGCTGAGCTCTTCCCTCTACATCGCAGGAGCAGACAAAGCCCCTAACACCCCTGTTATTTGTTGCACCAACCTCCTCCGATTCCCAGCTCTTCAAAGACTCACAGGACCAGACTTCACACCATCCCCTCTCAACCAAACAGAACTACTCAACCAACTAACACAAGAAATTACTTCCTTTTTCCCATTCATTACCCCTGGAACAGAAACACTCCCTTACCTCTTTGCTACACACAAAAAACACAAGAACACATTCCAATGGCTCACCACGCTTCCAATGTCATCTTCTCACCACTTGCCGACCTATGTGCTGCCATCCTCGACAAACTCAAAGAGATGGTCCAACAACACTGTGACTACCTTTCAAACCAAATTCAATCATCCACCGGACATCGCATACCATTCTGGTGGATAATAGACTCCACCTCAGACTATGTGTACAACCTACCTGATAAAATCACCAACTTATTCTCTGCTGACATTACCCGTTGCTACGAAACCATCCCAACGGATGGTTCTGACGGCGGCCTCCCGCACACCATTACCTTCTTCGCTCAAATTGCGTTCAATGCAGCCAGAAAAATCTATGGCCGACACGCCGCCCTGCAAGGTAAACCAGCTGACCCCCACAAAACCAAAAAACATGATCTACAATGGAACAATCAAATAAACCTCACCCTCACAAATTTCACCCCACTCCTGATCATCAAAATGAACACCTGGCTGATCAACAATGCCTACACCACCCTCGGCAAGCAAATCTGGAAACAAATTATCGGAATACCCATGGGAATCAGTTGTGCCCCGGCATGGTGTAATCTCTATTTCTTCAAATATGAATTTAAATTTATGGAAAAACTCTGCCACAAACGCAATCAACACCTCCTCCCCCTCTTCTCACTCACATACAGATACTTCAATGATCTCCACTCAATCAATAATCCCCTCATCCACAAATTCCTAAATCCCGACATCACATCCCCAAGAGGCCTTTACTGCCTCTACCCCCTAAACTATGTCACCATTAATGACCAAACCCAATACGCGGAACCACCCCAACAACCAAACACAGGTGTTCAATGCAACTTCCTTAATGTCACCACCACCATCACAGATACTCACACCGGTACCTACACAACTCACAAATACGACAAAAGAAAGGAACTTGACTTCCACATTAGCAGATCCCTCAAATATATCTCTAACAGACCCATAACACAGTCCATAAAAACACTCATCCCCCAAATTGTAACCATCATGACCATCGAATCGGAACCTTATACAGCTGCTGCTGAAATCAGAGACGCAATTAATAGCATGACCCACAATGGTTTCCCCCGGCACAAATGCCTGCAAACAGCCAAATCTGTTCGAACCAACCCCACCCAATATCAACCCTTTAGATGCTCCCCTGAATCCACCCTCCAATCCCACATGCTTCACTAAAACCCTTCTTCTTCCCCCTCCTTTTTTTTTTTTTTTTAAAAAAAAAACAGAACCTTAGAGTTCTGGCTCCTTTTCCATTCTGGGGAGCATCAGTCCGGTTCCTCTTCCACCGGCAAGTCAATAGTATATACATGTTGGGCACACACACGCTCTTCCCCTTTATGGTAGGAAAGCCCGAGGAACAGCATTGATTACTTGTCTCTGGAAGGATGTACCACTCCTCACCCCTGCCTAAGTTAGCCTGTTTCTTTTACATTGTGTCTGGACCTAGAGAGCTAATCCGACTTGTGGGCCCTATATGCTTGCTTCAGGGCTTCTTTGTCTAACCTGTTCCTCTCAGTTCTCTGACTGTCTGATTCTCTATGCGCACTAGAACCGTAGACTTGAACTTCCTCAAATGGAATAGCTCGGCCCTGGGGCCCTCACCGGACTAGCTGCTGCGTTCTACGGACTGGACTGAGCTCTAACTATTCCTCGTTAACCTTCTCCCTGTACTCTGACAACTGGAGTCTGAAGTCCCCACCCTTGCTTATTTACCTGGTCCCTACTAAGTTCTACGGGCTGGACTGAGCTCTAAATACTCCTTGTTAACCTTCTTCTTCTACTCAGACAACTGGAGTTTGAGGTCCAAACCCTTGCTGATATGGGTGGGTATTGCTGGGAAGTTAATAGATCTAGGATGTGCGCTTGGGTACCAGATTTGTTTGGATGTGATTGAAATGGCCGGGGGATTATGGGCTGGAATCGGGGTGGTTTGTGTGGGGGTAATCGGTCTGGGTGCTTGTGGTCAGGGGGTGGGGGGGTGGAGTAGATGAGCACGATGAGTGCTGCACGATTCCTTATGAAGTCGAAGGGGGTTGTGAGGTTTTGCTGTTGGGCTCGTAATCTAATAGTAGGAAGCCTAATGTGTTGTTGAAAATATCTGAGACGTAGTGTATGGGAAGTTTAGACTAGGTGATGGCGGCCGGGGTACGTTCTTGTTTGTT